TTTGACCTTGAAAGGTCAACTTGAAAATTTGATCTCAGGTCAAGGTCATGACCTGACCGGAAAAGGTCATGCTGCATATCAGTCGATGAGTCTCAGCAAGACGAACACAATGAGGCCATCCCCTGCGTTCTAGCTCTTTCCAGTCGCGAGTTATTGGCAAAAAAACTGTTTGTAGCCTCAAATGACCTCGGATGACCTTTCTAGAGGCTATCTGCAAAAATGACACTCTGGTCATCACGGGTGGTCCAAATCATTGTGATTCTGAAATATTTGGACTCTTCCTATGCGTACATACGGATCTAGAGGCATTTACATTTTTCTCCATTGACTTGTAATGGAAAGTTCACGCCACTGACCTGACCTTAGGTCACGGATATAAAAAAATCTGAGATATACAAATTGTAGGCGCCCATAAATTCATGCAATCCACCAAGTTTAAAACCTTTCTGACAAACACTGCAGGCTGGACATGTTTGCAAACTTTTTTTAGCCTTGGTCAGTTAACTTGACCTGGTGACCTGACCTGACATGACCTGGGGTCAAAAAGTTCACACATTGTCAAAAATTGATGTACCAAAAGCTACCCCAAGCGTCGCGGCGCTACGCCGCGGTTTTTTATTTACACGCAAAAAACGTGACAGGGTGGTAACATATGCCCCCCCCCCCACTGGGGCAAAGGTTAACCCGCGCGGGGCTGGGGGGGGTAAATTTTACCCCCCCTCGCGAATTTTCGCGATATCTCAAAAACGGCGGCGCGCAGCGCCGCCAAACTTTCAGTTCCTTTTCTTACATCAATTTGACACCTTCCCTGAAAATTTGAGCGAAATCCGTCGGAATTTTTTTGAGAAATTGACGTTTTAGTGACGTCATGTTCGCCATTTTCGCCTCAAAAACGGCAAAAGTTCAAACGCCGCTAACATCTTCATTTTTAAAGGAATCGAGACGTAACAAAAAAGGTTATACGTAATTTTACTTTGTCTATCAAATGGCTATCTCGGTTTTTTGAAAATTCTGGATTTTGGCCTAAATTTTTTCAAAAAACTGATTTTTTTGGGAAAATCATTATAAAATCCACAATTTTGAGTCTATCGAAAAAACCGGAATATATGTCAGAGAAGTGGTCTATGTGCACCTACATACCAAATTTTAGAAGAATCGGTTCAAAAATGTGGGAGTTATTCAAAATTTTATGACGTCACGACACACAAAATTTTTGAAAAATGCCTTTTTTGGAAGTTCTGGACCTCGTACGGAAACAAAAATAGCACCATTCGATTCGCCGTGAAAAACTGCATCAGATATACACCTTTTTAGGCCTTAACAACCAACTTCAAAATTTGACCTCACTTGACCTGACCTTGACCTGACCTCGACCTGAAATTCATCCAGAGGTGGTCCATATCACTTATTGAGTGTGCCTATTGAATTCTATGAGTAAAATGACCCATAAAACACGTGTCGCACATGCCCTTTTCTATATTTTGTTTTTTGGTGACCTGACCTGACCTGACCTGACCTTGACCTTGACCTCTGAATGATATTGTATGCAACTAATATGGTCTTGGTAGCCTAAGAACACGTTTTGGGCGATCAGTCTCAGTCCATGACTCCATTCTTCGGCAACTACGGTGCAAGGCCGATACTGTAGAAACTTGCAATTTGTACCCTTGACCTGACCTTGACCTTGACCTCAAACTTTAAATTAAGTACATGTTTTTAGTAGTTCGTGATGAGAGCTTTCGATTGGCGTTTGAATTTTCCAAATCGGACCATTAGTTCGGGAGATAACAGGGGGGTAAAATTTACCCCCCCCCCCCCAGCCCCGCGCGTTCGGCTGGAGACCCCAGCCCCGCGCGGGGCAGTGGAAGGGGGGGGGGGCGGATTTCGCCCACCCCTCCTGTTTTTCGCCAATAACTCGCGCCGCAAGGATAATATCAACGTGAAATTTCGGCTACCTGTCCAGAATTGAATTGCGGATCTTCGCGTGCAAGAAGTAAGAAAATTCGTTCACAACTTTTCTAGTAATAGCGGTGTAAAGTCAAACATCCTGCCGCCGCGGCGGCGCGGCGGCGCGGCGGCCGGCGCTAGCCGTTACGCGCCGCCTGAATTGTAGACTGTGCCGTGGCGGGACGGTTCCGTCTTTACATCGCGCTCCTTACCGCTGATTATATTAGATTCGCGTCAAATTCGGTGAGAAGACTGAGAAATGTACAGGCAATCATATGGTCAAAGAATTTTGAAAATCGGCCGGTAACAACTTGAGTTATGAGTGTGTAAACACAAAATTGTGATTGCCGCGTTTCCCGCGTCGGCCGATGCCGCTTCAGCCGGCGACATCTTACCCTTAGCAGGCTTCTAACTGCCATATTTATTGTTGGATTATCTAGAAATTCGCCATACGTACTCACAAATGTTTGCTGTTTCGTATAGTGAAAGATTTAAAAAAATCGGCCGGTAACTTTTTGAGTTATCGGCGTGTAAACGCAAAAAAGTCGCTAATATGGCAGATTTGACCACATTTGACCTCATTTGACCTTGAAGATGTTGACCTAGGGTCATGAAATTCACACACAACAGAGTTCCCCATGGCCCCCACCTACCCTCCAAATTTCGTTTTTCTAGCTCCGGTGGGAGCTGAGATCTTAGGGGGGGGGGGCGACATCCGCCCCCCCCTTCCACTGGGCGTAGTACTCGCAACCCTTCCACTGCGCGTGTTAAGAAAAATCCGAGTGATACAAGTTGTGACACCTCTTGAGGATACTAGATCATGTAAGTTTCATCTACCTGTGAAAGCTCCTCTGGCACTGAGGGCGTTGCGAAGTTGCGACATTTTAGGGCCATGAAGTCACTTATGACGTCATAGATCAGTGACTTGACCTGCCCTGAAAATGCAGTTATAAAAAATGCAGAAAAAATGCAGAATGCATTTATGAAAATGCAGTTATAGTATTACAAGATTCGGCTTGAATCGATGATAAAATATGCCAAGTTGCAGCTCTCTAGCTGCAATGTGTTTTGAGTTATCGCAAAAGACGTTAGTAAGTGCTGCCGACTCTCTAGGTCGGCCACTGACGATCAGGACGCATGCCAGGCGCGGCGCCACGGATTTTGTCCAGGGGGGGGGGGGGGGGCAGAGCCTCCGGGGGCCTCATAGCAAGGGGGCCTCCCGGCAGTGGGGCCTTTTTGTTGTACCTATCACGAACAAATCATGCATCCTTTTATCCCGGTTACTTTTCTTTCCAAAAAGTTCACATGCTTTGCGGTATGGACGCCAGTATAAGTTGCTTATCAAATACCTAGTACCTCACGTACATACGTCTTGGGGTAAGTTTGGGAAAATGGATTTGTGTGGTAGAAGGTACTAGCCTAGGTAGGCATACTGAATACCCAATATAATTTTTACTTCAGATGGTTCAAATGCAAAAGTAAAAAATGACGGTGGGCCGCGTTTTAGCTCGTTTAATTCTACACCTGTTTCTGGGGCGGTGGGCCTCCCGGCCACCTTCCGCGCGGTGGGGGGGGGGGGGGCATTTCCCCCCCTCCGTATCTCCGAAACTACTGGACAAATCCGGAAAATTCAAAAGGCTTTCGATAGCCCTGTCAAATTTGTTGAAGGAAACCAAATTTCATTAACCTCGGGGTCACCGATGACGTCACAGGTCAGGTCAAAGATAAAATGTTTCACCGTTCACGGGGCTTCTAGGGAAAGCGCTATAACACCGAGTAAAACCCACTTTGTCGAAAATCAGCGATAGGGCGTCAGTTGTCTAGTACATATGTTGCTAATAGAGGTCACTGGTCATACCAGGTCAGGTCACAGGTCAGGTTACCAGAGGTCACCAAGGGTCACCACATGAACCCAACTTTACTAAGGTTGTGCGATGCATGTTTTATGGCCAGTTTTTCATTGACAACTCAATGGTGTTGGTTATAAGACCATTAGGTACGGTTTAGGTCACTTTCTGGTGGAAGTCAGGTCAAGGTCAGGTAAAAAAGGTCAAATTTCAAAATTGATATTTTTGCATAAAATGGGTAAAATTTCGATGCAGCTCGTCACGGGGAGTCTAATGGTGGTCTTTTTTTTTTGCGCTACGAGGTCTAGAATTGCTAAATGTCGAGTTTGAAAATTTGACATCATCAATTTTGAACAGTTTTTTCGCTATAACTTGGCCAAAAAAAGAGGTAGGTATCGATCTCAAAATTGGTATGTACATAGAAGGCGGTAGGGACTATCACATATCTTCCGTTTTTTTTTTCGAATTCATTTTGGTTTGGATTTTTCGGCTATTATATTAAAAAATCTATATTTTTGATTTTTGGGGGTCGAAATAAAAAAAATCAAAAATCAGAGATAACAGTTTTGTAGCTCTTCAAATTTTACACCTTTTATGTCTGAAACATTTTTCTGTATCTCTAGAGCTGTAGGCCTGACAGCTCTTCTCGCGAAATCTTTTTTTGGGTCGAAAATGGCAGAAATGACGTCACTCTGACGTCATTAGCGTCCAACCTATCATAGCCTTTGGATTTTTTGTCACAATGTGTAATAGCTGTTCATGGTAGGGTACCGAAAGTTTGGTGACGATCGGCGCAGCAGTTCTTGAGATATATCGAAAAAAGTAAAAAGGGGGGCAAAAAAAATGCCCCCCCCCCCCCACCGCCTGGAAGGTTAAGTACAAACGCCTCTGTGCAAAGTGTTTCAAGAATAAATCAAGGCTTATGAAAATCGTGAGTAGGGTTGGGAAAAGCAGGAAAAATGATCACGTGACTAGCGTCCCAACCTTATCTGTAAGAATCTTGGGCAGCAGAACCCTTTTGTTTATGTCGAGTTCAGTGTTTATGTCCCTTGTACAGAAGTGATGAGGTCACTGAATGTTTCATGTATGCCATCTCCAAAACATGCTAGGTAACTTCAATACCTGACTAATCAGTTTTGGAGAAAAAAACTTTGGTATTAGTATATTTGAATTTGTCATGCAGCATAGCTGACACGCCTCACTCACCCGCGACTGGCGTTGTACGGTGGCACTTTTTTCGCTTGTTCACCGTCGGTAGTTATTCCATATGGAAACAGCACGTCCGCGTCTCTCGTGTATGTCATCATCAGGTCAAAGTAGCCGTCCAGTTGCGGAAGCAGGAGATGTAACGACTTCGGCGGGGCCTCTTGCCAGGCCAGGATATAAGGTTTGTGTGGCCGCGTTCGACTGGGCAGATTGCTCATATTTAATGTTTGTCCATGGATGACAACTGCGTCAGCAGTCGACAGCAGCTTGCGATCAGAGGTTGCTGAACAGCTGCTTACGGGGCAGTTGGAAAATGAAGAGTTGCTTATACGGAAGTAGAAGCCAGGGTCCTCTGTCCAGTGAAGAATAAGCAGGGGTCTGTTAGGATCTTGGGCGGGGTGATTTCGGCTCACCTCGCTGGTGAGATTACGTGTCTGTCTACGAGGAAGGTATGTTGGCTGAGCTTGACTCGCTTTCTGAACGGTAAGGTCGAGTGTATGCCAAGCCATATTCATAGGTGGCCTACGGAGGAGAATAGGGTGAAACCATAGGGATGCTGTCAAGAGGAGGATAGTTAATAAAAACAGGCTCCGAACTTCTCTTGGCGTGCAGAAGCGAACACACCTGAAACGAAATGAATCCATTTCATGTACGATCATCGCTTACATACAGGAAATTGGGTTGTTAGCTCTATTACTAGTGGGGGGGGGGGGGGGCGGGCGGATCAGCCCCTACCTGTAGTTTTTTTGCTCTCGACGGAAAACGACAGATTTGAGATTTGATTGTTGGATAAAGTGTTGAGCTGTTGAGTTGAGTCAGAGTTGAGCTGGACAAAAACATTAACCCGGCAGTTGCTAGGGTATTTCGCCAGCCGTCGTTTGCTGGGGGGGGGGGGGGGTTAAACGCCCTCAGCCGATAACTCGAGACCCAATAGGCGCAGCGAAACGCACAAAGCGGCAAACGAAAGAACGCGACGAGACAATTCAGATGAGTACTTTTAAGTTGAATTTTGAGGTCACAGGTCAGGTCAAGGTCAGATCAAACACCTGAAATCGGGCTTTCAGTAGCATGGACTTCAGAACCTCGCAATGAGCGTCTCCCGTCATAAACTCTGTCAAAACGGTGCACAAGCCATCATATACGCCCTACAAGAGTGTCAGATCCATGTAGGGGTCAGTCAAACATAGGTCAGGGTCAAGGTCAGGTAAACCAGGTAGGCTAATATCCCCGAAAATCAAAACTGATATTCGCAGCCTGCGACACAAGTTTTATGGGTAAATTTTGGCGTAGAACACCACGATGGTGACATTCATTTTGTCATATATGTACGTGTTTGGTTCAAAAAGTTCAATTTAAGAAATGCATGTATCATGGTCGTGAAGTTAGTCACGGAAAATCACCAAGATTCAGTTCAAGATTTCGGAAAATGCAGAACGATAATCAAAAATCGAAGATAGCCATTTGATTGCCCGTGGTATTGGCAGCCTAATGGCGTTTACGGCAGGTCTGTATCTTTATTCCGTGATTTTATATGATTTTTGAACATATGCCGTTTTTGGTGGAAAACTCAGAAATCATGACGTCACTAAAACCTTGATATCTCAAAAACTTTCCGACCGCATTTTTAAACTTAGTCACAATAAACTTCAATCAATTCCCTAAGGAAACCTAAATTTTGGTGCGACTGCGGCGCGCCGTTTTTATGCTATAGCGCGGCGAAAAAAGTGGGGGCGTTTAACGCCCCCCCAGCAACTCGTGGGTTAAGGCGTTAAGTTGAGTCAGAGTTGAGTCAGTCAAATAACCTTTGACATTTGGTTGAGTCAAACGTTTAGGAACATGAGTCAGCTGACTCAACTTTCTAGAAATATATATATATATATATATATATATATATATATATATATATATATATATATATATATATATATATATATATATATATATAGATATCTTGACATTAGTAAAGGTAGGGAGCAGATTCTCTATGATACATTGTTCATTGAATAATACAGCGTACGAGTGATTGATGCATTTCTTTTCTAAGGATTCAATACGGCGCACTAGCTTCTTGTCTTCGTTAGAAAAACAGCTTAACCCGTTACCGCCTAGGGGTCGGATCCGACCCCCGTCCGTTTTTCTTGAATTGAATAACTCATGAACCGCTTACGCTATCAACTTGAAACTTGGCATACCTTCTCACCCATCAATTTGACGTCTCCTGTGTAATTTTTAAGAAAATTTTTCCATTTTTTAGATATATCGATTTTAGTGATGTAACTACATGGCGTTTTCAGTCAAAAAGGGGTAAATGTTTAAAAAATCGCCAAAAATGGTTTAAAGCAAATTGCAAATTAACCCTCGCCCTGGCAGGGCATTTTTCATAACACGGCTTGGCAGGGGGGTCGATGCGACCCCCCCTCGCGATTGGCTCCTTTGGCATCTAGAAACACCAAATTTGGTAGGTAGGTGGGCCCCCTGGAGTTCTCGCCCCTGTGCAAATTTGGTTGCTCTAGGTTAATATTTAGGGGGTTTTTGGGGGGTATAAATGTAAAAAATTCGCTAAAAACAGGTCAACAGTTTTTCGCTTATAACTTTTGATCTAATTAAGAAAGAGCAAAAAGAAAAGCACCAGTGAACTCAGCACGTCAAGGCGCGTCGAATGATATAATTTTTAGCTTGCTTAAGTGTACCCTAAGTTTTTCTTAAATTTTAAGTAAACTTAAGTTAATAAATTGAGTTAAAATTGACCAAATTGCATCATATCGCATATCATTCGATTCGGCTGATCACCAGGAACACAATGATACCATTTTTGAAGCTCTAGCGTCATTATGTGCCAAGTTATTGGCAAAAACGTCATTTGACCTCAGTTGACCTCATTTGACCTGACCCATGGATAAGTACACCAAACAAAGAAGCACCAAGTGACCTGCTGTTAAGTACTGTGATTTCAAAGCACAAAAGTGATGGAACAAAGCGGATATCTCCAGTATTTTCCGAATTTAGTTTTTTCCCTTAGGCTTAACATTACGACCTAATGACCTCTAACTGACCTCAGGTCAGTGACCTCAAAAAACCCGAACTATATGTTATACAACTCGGTGAACTTAGCACATCCTGAAAGTTTGAAGGAAATCAGTGCAAAACTGTGAGTTGGACAGGTGCAAAAAGAAAATTGAAATTTGACCATGACCTTGTACTGGTTGTTCTGACCTGGTGACCTGACCCAAGGTCACCCGGACCTGAAATTTTCAGGTCATATGTAAAAAGGTTGCCCCATAGGCTGTGCCAAATTTGGCGGCGCATCGACCCCCCCCCCCCTGCCAGGGCGAGGGTTAAGAACATGAATAGACGCAGCTCAAGAGTTCTTTAAAATGGCTATCTCGGATTTTCCATAAAATGCGTTTTTCACTCCTAAAAATTCAAAAAAAAAACTATGTTTTTTTTGGAAAACAGGTAATTCAATCCAAAATTTTGGGAGTTTCCAAAAAAACGGAATATATGTTATAGAGCTCTATTAGACCAATAGATGTCCCAAATTTCAACTTTCTATCTTGATTTTTGACCCCCAAATTGTAAAAAATAGCTCAAACATGCATAGGGCATGGTGACGTCATAAGCATTTTCGTGAATTAGAGGCACTTCTGAACATCGCATGTGAAAACAAATGGCACCACTAGATTCCTGGGACAAAGCTCGTCTAGAAAAGTGCATTTGTTATGTCAAAAATAAAAAGTTGAAAAATTGACCTTTTTCGTAGCCCTCATTTAGTTATATATGGTATAAACGATTTTTTATGCTTTCAATGCACACTTATCACCAGCACAGTAACTTGGGGTCACATATAACCATTACCATCGGATTCGGCGTGAAAAATAAGCCATAAAACATGTGTCGCACGCCCATGTAGCAGAAAGTTAAAACCGTGACCTTTCGTGACCTGACCTGACCCTGACCCGTACTTAGTATGACCCCTATATGCGCATGGTACCTTCACTAGGTCTTTGAGGTCATTTTTGGTGAGTTTCGAGCAGCAGCTATCGATTCCGCTGTCCGTAAGCCTAATCATGCAAAACCCCAGAATTTGACCTTTGACCTGACCTTGACCCGAAAGTTGACCTCAATCTTAAAATCTTAAGAGTGCTTTGGGAAGGTCTCGTAGAGACCTTTCGAACGCCGCCTCGCGGGGCTCGATGCAACCATTGGCTCTCGAGATATCAGGGGGGGGGGGGGTCGGATCCGACCCCCCCCCCCCCCCCAAGCTGTCGTGGGTACGGTAATAGCCCATGGGCTGCAGGCTACCGCCTGCAGGCGGTGCCGGGTTAAAGAGTCGGGCGCCCGGCACATAGGAAAGCTCGGGATGACAGCCCCTGGGATAAATTCAGTTGCAGTCCGGCAGGACCGAGGCATTGCAATCGTCAAAACTGCGACAATTCCATGTGCTGAAGTGCTCACGTGGGCTTTTACAGATAACTCTGATCTAACTTTGGTGCAAGAAAACGTGAAAGATCTTACCCTGACATCCTGTGTTTTTAATAGCAGCTTCGTTGTTGTGATATTCAATCAACAATGCTTGTTCCTTTGTCCGATGATGTTCTCGGAGCTGAAAAAGAAAACGACCAGACTTAAAGGTTCGCCTCTTAGCGAATTAAACCGCGCCATGCTAGGGGAAGGGAGCGGGTTGAATACACTCCCCTTGTGATTTTTCGCTTTTTCAAAAACGGTGGCATTCAGAGCCGCCGTTTTCAGCACACTTAATCATACATCTCTTCCGCAAATGTTTCAAAAATTGCAGACCAAGATCACTCACGGTTAGGTCACTAGTTCATTCCAAGTGACTTTACCTCATAAGTTTCAACGTCTGCCATAGCTACACCGAGTGACCGATTGCTTGGAAACTTTAGCGGTTGATAAGGAAAAGCAGTATGCAGAAAAATGTTTGTCTTGGTATTTTGATATCTCTGATCTAAAATCGGGTCAGTTTTGCAATATCCCAAAAAGTCTATGGGAGAAATTGAAAGGCGTCTCTTTTAGACGAAAGTCATTCTAAACACTGTCAACACTGAATTACAAGTAACTTTGAGACACCGCACATGAA